GAATAGAGGCTGTAATACAATATTGTCTTTTATCAGATAACTGCAAAGCTACTGAAAAATATATTCCTGCAAACTATGGCTTTCTCTTTAGTGCTGATGGGCTGTGAGATCTGTGGTTGCTCTGGGGACAAGTTGAAGGATGCCAGACTTGGTCAGGGCTTCTCGTCAGCCCTCCCTCCTGTTTAAGAGATGAGTTGATGCTAATACAGCTTCACCCTGCTTGCTGCTTTTCCAGCCTAGGCTGTACTGGTAGCTTCACACACTAATTGTGTTTGAAGAGCTGCAGGAAGTTCTCAGTTTTGATCCCCTTAGCTAGTTACTTGTCAGGAGCAGGGAAGGAAAACAAACTGATTTCATTTGATTGTGGTTCACAGGGGCTGCTCACTGATTTTTTACCCACCATGACTTCCAGGCTTCTATTTGGATAAATTTCTTTCAGCTTTTTTTTCCTAGATCCCTCCGTAATTGGGGAGGCAAAATTAAATAGACATGACGGTAAGAAGGTTTAAGTTCTTGTGTGTGCCTGAACCCCAGTTTTGCAGCACTTGGCAAGAGGAATGTGGTATAAGGTGTGTGTCCCTGCTGTGACAGGTTGCATTTTGCTACTGTTGATAATTGGAAGGATTAAGGACTTCTGTCCTGTGGTGAGAGAGGGGATACCACACAACAAAGGGAACCTCATCTATAAATTGATCCATGTCCCATTCCCACTGTGTGACATGGAGGTGAATTCAGCAGAAGAAAGAAACTGGGGAAAGGTTACATGTCTCCATGGCTGTGCAGAACAGGAGTCTGGAATGCTTTTTTGGGGTGGTTCTTGGCTCATGGCAGCAGCTCAGCTGGTGTGATGTGAAGCAGGTGTGCACAGGCTTCCCACTGTGGTTACTTGGCTCTGCTGGCTTCATTGGGGAGTTTCCTTCATGGATTGAATGGCCTGAGATTGGGTTTGATGTCTCTCATCCTGTTAGTGATGATGAAAGGTGAAAAGGGGAGTGAGGGCTGAGCTGGTTGTTGCTGTGTGATGGATGAGGACTGCAGGTGCTATGGCTGCTAAACTTAACTCATTTCAAGGGAAAAAATTATTCTGTCTTCTTATAATCTCTTTTTAATTAGGAAGTATTTGATCATTTCAAATTGGCAGTGTATGAGGTAAACTATTCCTTTAGAACTACCCTTAAGTTTCTTTAGGAGTATAATGTTCATTGTGTGGTTAAAATGTACAGTCAAATAATCCTCTTAAGGGGAAAAAAAATGGGGAGAAGGCTTGAGAAGAATGATACAAATCAGCCAGCACAGGGTGAACACTGCCTACAGAACTTGGCTCAGGCTTGGCTCCTCGTCAGGTGCCTGGGCATGCAAGCACTAAATTTTTGCCTAAATAAAAACAAACTAAAAGATTCTTGGTTTAACTGTGTCTGTATGTACTTATGGCTGAATGTGCTGCTTAGGAATGCTTATGCTGTTGAACCAAGGATGGTAACTGGTATTGAATAGACTTTTGTTATCACACCAAACTAAAATCACTTGGAAAGGTTTGATTAGATGAAACTTCTGGTCTAGAAGTCCCCTTTTCAGGCTTTTTTTTCTATGTACTTCAAAATCTTGGATACAAAAATCTTATTGCAAAAGTGTGGGTGACATATTTTTTCTTCCCCTTTGTCTTTCCCAGTCTCCTGAGCTTAGATACAGAAACTTCTTGATTTATCCTTTGGCCCTGTGATTTCATAGCTGGCAGAACTTGTCATTATGGCTGCAGAATTGTTGTAGAGGGGATGGGATCAGCTGTGCTTTGCAGCATTGCCTCAGTAGTGACTAATGGAAGAGAGTGGGAAACCAGAGCAGCTGAGTAAAAGCAAATAGAAAGGTCATTTGGCTAGAGTGGTATTATGGGCTACTGACCTTGTATTTTGACATGAGTGTCTTTTGTGGGGATTTCCAGCACTCGTTGTAGGCAAAATCCAGTGAGTATTGACTGACTCATTCAGAAATATTGGGTTTTGTATGTGGTGACTTTCTTCAGTTCTTCCTAACTTTTCAGATACAGATTGAGAGTTGGTCTTGATGGTCTGGGGAGTCAGCTTTCCGCTGAAGCAAACTTTCTGATGTTTAAAAGTCTTATTCTGTTGCTACAAGGTTTTGAGGCAGTGTTTGGCCTCTGCTTTCTAGGTATGTGACTCATACCTTAAAAGCAAAGCTATACCCATCTTGGTCTGTCTTCTGCAGCCTGAGGAAGAAAGGCAAGAAGGCTTTTCTTTATACTAGAGTGGTTTGGAAATGTGACACTGGCAAAGCCATCTCTGGGAATTTGCAGGGAATGGAGTTGAAGGTGCATAATTCTAACTTAATTTGAATTTCTAAAATATCAGGAAAATCTTGTTTAAAATGTAAGCTGTAAGACTTGGTAAGGCTGTTTGGAATCTGGAATTAAGTGGGCTCTGAACTGTGATATATAATATAGAATTATATTGCTATATAGATGTCTATGTCTAAATGCCTCTAGTATTCTTTAAATGTTGCCTCTGTAATTTTTCGGGAAATAAGGATATATACTTGGGTGGAATGGAGTAAATGAAAGTAATCTGTATATATTGGAGAATAATTGATACACAGCAGGAGACTGACTTTGTGTTTAGGTGTTTCAGTAAAAAGAGTGTGAAAATGTCAATGACACCATTTTACAGATCCTTAGGGTTTAATGTTTGAGCCCACTATATTTTCTGAGTAACTGGGAAGGAATCGTTATAGATGAGTAAATGGTTGGCTCTCATAATTAAGGGGTAAACATTATATGTATGTTAAAAGAAGTTTTATAAATGTATAGTTATGTTACTGCAATGTGCTCCCCCCAGTATGTGTTATAATGGGATGGTCTTGGTAATCTGGGCATTTGGGAAGGTTGGCTTGTTACTATGGCAGCACCTGACCTCCAATCAGAATGTAAGAAAGTGACTTCTACCACTGGACAGCAAGGAAGGAGTTGACTGACAAAGGCTCTAGGAGGCGCTAGAGATGTAAAAAGGCAAAGCATCCATCTTTAAGATGAGCCAGCCACGTGGTAGGCAGCCATGAGGGAGGTTCCCAGGCCTGTTCTTCCTTATTTAGTCCTTTTGTTGTATTATTGTTAATGTTGAATAAACATTTGCAATTTTTAAAGTGAGCAGTTGTTTCTCAGAATGGGAATGGAGTGAGCAAGCAGATTTACTACAGGGAAAAATGCAAACAAAGAGATGGAAGGAGTAAAGGTAAGTTGCCAGTGAGGTGCTGCTCTCTAGTACATGTAGGGAAATGGCATGGCTTCAAAGGATGTGTGCTTTGCCACCTCTGTAAGGCATCTCATATCCATTTTCCCTTTTTTTTTATCTAGTAGAGCACTAATGCCTTCTCAGTGGGCTGTAGTGGGAGGTTGAGGCTTATGGGTTTGCTCTCTCCTGCTGACACTTGCTGATCAACATGTTTGGCTCTCTGGTCTGTATCCCCTCCTTTGCACAGGTATGTCTGTGTCTCACACCCTCTCTTCTGGGAGCCCTCCTGTGCTCCTCCATGTGCTTTCTGGGGGAGGTAGGGCCTCTCAGAGCCCTCACTAGCTATTGAAGATTAATGAACTTTCTTTCCAGCTGTGTCACAAAAACAAAGGACTGTTGTGTTCAGCCTTTGTCCTTGCTACGTGCAGGGGCCCTTCAAGAAGCAGCTCTTCCTCCCCTCTATTCCAACCAGCATCTGCATGTTTGCTGCTTTCTTTATATTAGTAGATAGTACTGAATAAAGTGCATCTTTGTGTGGTTTTCTAACTGTACAATTTATTGCTTGTGATACCTTGGGTGCAAAGGACTAACAAAACACTATTTACACTATTTTGAGTATCCAAATGGTTATGAGATGCTTAAAGTAAATAAGGAAAAGGTGAATAAATTGCTGCAAGTGGAATGATGCTTAAAACACTTGATCTGAAAATGTTAGTTATAGTTTTTTCAAGATGAGGTTCACTATAAAATAACATTTACTGTTACATGCTTTTGAATTTGTTTACAATAGGATAAATTCAATTAAGACTGAATCCAGTAGACTGTCTTGCATGTCATGGACCTGCTTGTGTCTCTTTATTTTGCAATGCCTGCTTTTCTGGTCCTGTCATGGGTAAAAGGGGCTTCTGTATGTATTTCAAAATGCCTTGAGTATCTCAGGAAAGAGCCTGTTGTCACTGTGTCATGGCAAACTTTATAATTCAGTCCCCAAAAATCAAAGACAAATATTTCATTAACTTTCTGCTTTTATTTCAGACTGTATTTACTCAGTTAATGAATGAGAGAAATTCCATGTAGGCATATACTATTAACAGAGTAAGCCTTATTTGCATGCAACAAACTGCTTGAACTCATACTTGACAGTTCAAGCAGTGGCTCCTTCATCTCCCAGGGAATAATAAAGTTTTAAATAACACTTACTGATAAAAGGAAGCAAATGAAGAGTTCTCAGTTAATTGATTTTATCTATACCCTATACAGGTTGTAATACAGACACTTCTCTCACTTGTAAATGCTTAATTTGCTTTTAGGTCATGCTTGTTGGTGGAAGACTAATATATCAGCAAATTTGTGTGTGAACCTTTACTCCTTTTGCAGGATCTTAGAAATAACTGAAGTGCACCCAATCAATGGAAAAAATTTAAACCTACTAGTATGTATGGGATAATCACAAAGGTGGCTGATGGAGGAAAAAGCCATTCATGTTTATTCACCATCAAATAGCAATTGAGGAGTTGCTGGGCTAAACCAGCCCAAGAAACATTGCTAAAATAGTTTGTGGCTATAAGTATCAGAGGCCTGTTTGGAAATGATAGGTATAAGTTGATACTGGTTTTGCTGATGTGGCTTGCAGAGATGCAAACAGCTGCTTCTGGTTTCACCCTATGGTTTCTTGAAACTCAAACAGCTTAGATGGCTTTCTTGTGGCTTTCTAGACTTGGATGTCTTGCCAAACTTGTATATGTTTCCTTTAAACAGGTTGCAAAATAAAAGCACTAAGGGCCAAGACAAATACTTACATTAAGACCCCTATTCGGGGAGAAGAACCAGTCTTTGTTGTCACTGGGCGAAAGGAGGACGTAGCCATGGCTAAAATGGAAATTCTCTCAGCTGCTGAACACTTCTCCATGATCAGAGCATCACGCAACAAGAGTGGTCCTGCTCTGGGAGGCCTGCCATGTACCCCTAATCTGCCAGGTCAGATGACAGTCCAAGTCAGGGTGCCTTACCGTGTAGTTGGGCTGGTGGTTGGACCAAAAGGAGCTACAATCAAAAGAATTCAGCAGCAGACCCATACCTACATAGTCACCCCCAGCAGGGACAAGGAGCCAGTCTTTGAAGTCACAGGAATGCCTGAAAATGTCAACTGTGCACGTGAGGAGATAGAGATGCATATAGCCATGCGTACTGGGAACCACATCAAGCTGAATAAAGAGAATGATTTCCACTACAATGGTACAGATGTGAGTTTTGAAGGAGGCACTCTCAGGTCTGCATGGCTTGTTTCTAATCCTGTCCCTCTTAGTTGCACCAGAATGATTTCTAATTATAGGAACGACAGCTCCAGCTCCTTGGGAAGTAGTTCCACAGATTCCTGTTTTGGAAGCAATAGATTGGCTGATTTCAGCCCAACAAGTCCATTCAGCAAAAGCAACTTTTGGTTTGGAGAAACATTGCCTTCAGTGGGCATGGAAGACCTTGCGGTTGACTCTCCTGTGTATGACTCCTTATCAATGCCTTCCCAAACCATTTGGACTCCTTTTGAACCTGTAAACCCTCTCCCTGGCTTTGGTAGTGACCCTGCTATTAATACTAAGCCTCAATGCCGAGGGAGACAGCCATCTACTCCTTGCCTGTCACCCACATTTCCAGAAAGCCTGGATCACCCGCTGGCTGGGAGAGCAAATAATGACCCACCTAGCACTGGCCACCAAGTAGGCCTCCCTATCTACATCCCTGCATTCTCCAATGGCACCAACAGCTATTCATCTTCCAATGGTGGCTCCACGTCCAGCTCACCCCCTGAGTCAAGACAGAAGCTCGACTGCGTGATGTGCTTCGAGAACCAAGTTGTTGCGGCTCTGGTCCCCTGTGGTCACAATCTCTTCTGCCTGGAGTGTGCCAACAAAATCTGTGAAAAGGAAGTCCCATTGTGTCCTGTTTGCCAGATAGCTGTTACTCAGGCAATTCAAATTCACTCTTAAATAGAGATATTATAGGGATATTATTATATGTGGACTTTTAAAGACTTGAAGGCATAGATGTAATGGTACCCTCTAGTAAACTTTCTAATGAATTCTGACTGTTTGACTTCCTTGGGATTAGACTGAAGTTATTAATAAATTTTTACTTTCTCAAAAGGCTGCTATGGTAACACTAAACTTAAAGGGTCTCTGTCTGGTACAGTGTAAGCAGATGGCATGTTTAGCAGAGATACATCTGGTATAATGTTATGGCACAGTGAGGGCAAGTTTTCATAAATTACACAACTGAAAAAACCCCTAAAAGTTTCCAGGCTTTTCTAAAGGATCTCTGTTAATTGTTTGGCTTCTGTGAGTTGGCAGCAATGAACCTTGTTGCCTAAATGCAAAAGTACTTGTCTGCTATGGAGGATGTGTAGTCTTATCTACATATCAAACAACACTTCCAATGCTATCTTCTACCAGCTTTGAGGAAATTTTTTTTTTTATGTGACAACTTATGCCTAATACTTCAGCATTGCAAATATCTTTTAAAGTATAGTTTGATTTATTGAAACGGATTGTGTTATTTGGCAGGTTCAGATAATAAATGACAGGTGGGAAGAGAGAAACTGCCAGATGCACCTTCATTTTGTCCTTGATAAGGGCAGTATGTCCAGAGGATCAGGAATGTCTCAATTTGTGAATTCCTACCCACTGCTTTTGTTAGTGTAATGCGGAAAAAGTCTGTCTGGCTTCATCTAGTTACAGTAAGGGCTTTGGGATGCACATACTTTGACTAAGAGTGATGATGCTGACATTCTGTTCATTAGTCTGATCAAGCTGTTCTTGACCTTTTTTAGAGAGTATATAGTTCAAAATGTGAAGCATTTTTATGTTAAATTCATGTCTTACTCATAAATATATATTTTTAGTAAGAAAAAGGAAAAAGGGGGAGTTGTGTAATGTCCTTGTATTATTCATGACAGCAGCTGTGACAGTGGCCCTGTAATCAGTTTACTTCATTTCAAAACTGTCTTTCCAAAAAAAAAAAGTCTCTTGAATGAGCTTCTTACATTTCAACCTGTGGATGTTTCTAGCTTTTTCATCCTCAGTACATTACCAAATCTGTGCTGACATATATTAAAACAGCAAAAACAAAAAAAAGACACAAAAGTAGAGTCCTGATGTATTTTTTCCTCTTTTTTAAAGCATTATTTTCCCAAGACAATCTTTTTCTCAGTGTAACAACAAAAAAGAAATTATGTATTAAACTAGTAAATATGCAGAAAATTTTATTTTTATTTCCACTTGAAGAGTTACATTTCGTATAAAAGTTTACAACTAGGAGTTGCCTTGAAGGCATATTATGTACTGCATAACTTTAATACTATAATTGCTTGTAGGATAGTTATATGTCAGTATTAAAATCTGATCTCTAGCTACAGTCTTGTAGATGCAAACAAATGTTCACTGAGCGTGTATTTTGTTTTATTGCATTGTACACTGCAACTAATAAGCCAAGGAATCAATAGACATAAGGTACGTGTACCACTTCTATAAACAACAAACTAAGAATAAACTGATAAACTATTGATCTAGCTTAGTATTTGCTAATTTTACTACACTCTTTGTTATGTATATGTAGGGAGGTCATAGGGATTATAAATTAAATTTTGGTAAAGTTTAAAAACTATATATTTTATGATAAAGGGCCTTTAAATTATGATGGCCGAAGCACTGATATTATATATTTGTTGTAAAGAGAATTATAAGAGTTTTATTTTTCTGATATTAAAAGTTACTTAATAAAGACTTATTTCCATTAACTTGAATGTTTTGCTCTCTTCATAGTTGTTACTTAGAGCAGCTTAGGCAGGCTGGGGCTGGCTGATGTCCCCCACGCAAGCAGGGGCATTCCTGGTGCTTAGTATTTCATGTGCAGGGCTCAGGCTGGTGGGATCCCATTCCAGTGCTGCAGAGCTCCGCTCCTGAAAGAAGTTTAACTGGTATAAACAAAAATTTAGGGGTTTTGTGGGGTTTTTTTTTGGTGGGTTTTTCCTCCCAAAATACCCTTGGCCCAATTTTTCCCAAAGTTGCATGGAAGAGTTTCCAGGAGCTGCTGGGTTAAAGTTTAAAATAAATCCATGCAAAATGAGCTGAAGTAGCTGAGGGGAGGGTGCAGATTGTTGCTAAGAAAACAAATGGGTTTTGGGCAAATGAGCTGCACCAGGAACTGTAGGAAATCTAAAATATTGAGGCTGGCAGGTACCTGCCCCAGGGTGTGACATTGTTTAATGGTGGACTTGGCATGGCTGGGTCAATGGTTTGACTCAATGGTCTTTTCCAATCTAAACCATTCTCTGTCCATAAGTCAAGGGGGAAAAGAAATATGGACCATATAGTCACATAGGTTGGAAAAGAACTTTAAAATCAGAGTCCAATTGTTAACTCAGCACTGCCAAGTCTACCCCTAAGCCATGTCTCCAAGTGTCACAGCTACATGCTTTCTAAATCTTTCCAGGGATGGTGACTCCATTATTACTCTGAGGAACCTGTTCCAATGCCTGACCACCCTTTCAGGGAAGAAATTTTTTCTAATCTCCAATTTAAACTGCCCCTGGCACAACATGACACTCATCCTACTGCTTGTTACTTGAGATGCTCCATGCCTGCTCCCCACTTGGGGTCTGCTCCCTCAACCTGTGCTAACCTTAGTGGCATGTCAGTGGTGCATCTCATTCCTGCTGCTGACACCAGCTGCCCAGGTGTCCCCATGGATCCCTACCCACAGCAGCCATTCCCACCTCTGCTATCACCATACTATGTGCCCTTGGTCATGTCACTACACCCAGAGGCAGCTTCACTGCAGCACCTACACCTGCCATCGTACTGGCCATGTGGCTTCCCTGCTCTGAGCATGGCCGTGCTGCTTTGCACTGCTTTGGCTGCATTGACTTCAAGACAATGCTTCACCCTTACTCAAGTAATCAACAAAATCAACCCAAACTGCCAGTCTGCCCCAGGGTGTCCCCATCTTCTGCTGCCATCCTATATCTATGAAGAACATGACCAAAAGGAGACATGACCCACACCATCTGTGGGATGCTCCCAAAGCTGCCCTCCTCCCCCCCCCCCCCCCCCCCCCCCCCCCCGCCCCTATGTTTTCAGACATAGAAGATGGAGCACTAGTGGACATCTAGTGGCACCTACCCCAGATGCCCCAAGGCAGCTACAGAACCCCCTGGTGCATAGCCATCACCCTGTGGCAAACCCAGCCTTGGGTCACTCCAGTACCCCCATGGACATGCAAATAGTAACAGTGTGGGCAGGAGTCTGACATGGGGCCATCTTTCAGCCCCTGGGGCAGCACAGAGGTGCTCAGACTGAGACATTTTGGGCCAGCTTTAGCTTTGTGATATGGATTTATTCTATGCCTACAGCCACATGGTTGTATCAGAGGGTTTAAATGCACATCATGTGCTGGTATATAGTTTCTCAGTGCTCTAAAGCCAATACCAGTGTGCTATCCAATGCTTTTACCTTGGTCACAACAATGACTAGCCACCAGTTACAAAATAATTGCTAAGTACCAGGAGGGAGCATCTGAAAAGCTCTCTGGAGAAGTATGGAGCTAAAACTGCTTTAAGGTGGCTTATGGAGGGATTGCAACTAAGCAGGAACATCTTGGCCACAGAAAATTCGAGGATTTGATGTTTCTGTATATATAGGAAGCTGTTTGGGGGTGGAGGGGAAGTATAATCTTTCACATTTCAGTTATTAGTCTAGTACCTTAGGATATACAACTTATGCATCCATGCCCTCCAGCCTGCCAGAGCTACCTGTGAAGCCCCAGACCCAGAGTGGGTGGGCACTGAGGCATTCTGTTATAACCATTCCTGCTCAAACAGGGCACCAGATCTGCAATGGAGAAAGAAGGAATTTTCACCCTGCCTCATGCTCATAAATCACTGGAGTGCAGAGGGTTGGTGTCTTAAGGATTTTTTTTTTTTTTATCCCATATCTGTCGCTATTGAGTAAGAAATGGACACAGACTCATCAGAAGGCTGATTGGCCTAATGTGCGCGCCATATATTTGGAACTGCTCCTTTTTATAAGCTGTTCTGATCCAGGTAGATTTGGTTGGTCATTCAGTTAATACATTTCACCTTATTGGCTAATTAACAAGATGCCCTTCTTAATCTTTGAGAAAAACAAGAAAACAGAGAGTAGGAAAACAACACCTGCAGGTTTTTTATAATAATAGGCTATCATTGTTTATCTTCAACTCCCTAAAGTCTCTCAGGCCGATTCTGGGAAAACTTATCTAGTTTTCTCACTCTCTGACCAGGCTGTCACATCCACAGGTCCCCCTTTTTGTTTAAAGGAGGAGGCATGTCCTAGGGTGACGTTATGATGCTTGTATCCCCATTCATGTGTTCTGTTAATGTTGGATATTATGTTCTGTACCTTTAAGACCGGCTCTGAAGAGGGAAAGTTTTGTTTTGGTTTTCTTATCAGCCTGGCGGGACACAGAGACTGCAGCTTTTGCTTTTGCTGCTTTTGCTTTTTGCTTTTGCTCTCTCGCTCTTGCTTGCTTCGCTTCTGCTTGCTTTTGCTCTTTAGCTAGTTTAGCTAAACTGTCCAATTTCTTCCCAGACGGTTTCTCCTTTCCTTTTTCTGATCATTTCGAACCTGCTCCGGACTGGGACCTGAGAAACACCAAGATCCTGCACCTTCTGGCCTGCAGCAGCAGCCCCAGTGCCGGAGGGACTGAGAACAGAGTGACCACCCCCAGAGAGACTTTCTGAATTTGTCATCTTTTTCAGAGCGGTGTCATCCGGTATTGTTCATTTGTGTGCTGGGGGGTGCTGTGCTTGTTAAATAAACAGGTTCTTTCCACTCCTCTCCGAGGAATCCTTCCAGAACCGGTTGGGGGGAGGGGCTGTGTGGGTTTGCTTACTGGAGGAGCCCTAATTTGGAAATTCTCCTCCAAATTTGCCCTAAACCTCGATAAGGCGGTATTTGTAATCCTCTGTGGGGCCCCTTGCAGAAAGGAGAACAAACACAGCTCCAGAGGTTCCTCTAGAAGTTGCTAGTTATCAATCAGAACCTCAATCGGACGCCATTTTGAAATGGTCTGAGAGATCAAATCTTGTGATTCCCTCTTACAAGAAATACACTAATTATCTTAAAATCAGTTACTTATTCTAATACAATATCAAGTCTAATAGAGTAGCAACTTATCATTAGTTTGTTCAAAGAACTGAAACAGAATGAAAATTTAACAGGGGAAAAATCCATTTCGGATTTAGGTGAAATGTGCCATTTTGAATTATTTAGTCTGTAGCTTGCTTGCATAGATGAAATATGTTGTTTAGTCTGTTAACTCTGTGCTGTGCTTAAGACTGCCTGTTCTCACAAAAAAGCCTGTGCTCACAAAACTGTCTCAGCCTAGGAAAAAGAATGCGAACTTCCAAGCTGGAAAGAAAGATAAGGGGGGGGGCCTTGAACTTTGAAACAAAGATGAGAGCCAAAGCTGGGGCTGCAGGAGACGGACAGGATGACCCGGGAGTTCTTTCTGTACAAGGACTGATAAAAAAAACTAGCTGCAAGTGTAACACAAAATCAGTAAAATGAATATGCATGAACCTATTGTGGAATTCTATGCATATGTACAAGTAAGGGGGATAAAAAATGGTTCAGAATTCTCAGGGGTGCACATGTCCTTTAGGGGGAACGATCCCCACATGCGTCCAGCGCTGTAATAAACATACCGGCTTTACAACTTTTACAAGTTGTGGAGTTAGGTTTTTTCCCACAAATCAGAACTGACAGTCTTAACTTGTCAACAGTTTTTTTCTAGAAACAAGGAAAGGATAGCATGTTCATTCCCCACTCATGAAGGGGCCATCTGATTGATGGTTGTCATCTTGATCATTGTTCGGAGGTTGCCTGTTGGCCACATTCTGGTTTTGGTGTCACAAATCAGGGCCGACACACCTTGCAGGTACCCAGTATCTGCAGATACTCCAGTATCTGTGGGAACACATGCATACCCACGGCCCCAAGTGATAAGGTCGTACGGGCCCTCCCACTTATAAGTGGCTAGGTCCCGTATCCAGACTTTCACTCAAGGCAGATGCGTCTCACCTGAAGAGTGCAACAAGGGAAAATTATTTAGAATGACAGAATTCTCTGAATTCTATGGCACTGTAAGA